GCAGGTGATAGGCATTCACTGCTATCGTGAGATTTGCTTTTCGCTCATTTATTTTTTTTTTTAAGGTTTATTTATTTATTTATACAAGCACTGGGTACAGTCAGAAGCGTGGGAGGGTGAGAGAATTCACCAGAGCCAGAGCGGGGAGCAGAGCAGGCAGAAGGACCGAAGTACACTGCTGAGGGGAGCAGCGGGCAGCAGGAGAGGTCTGCGCGCCATGTGGGACCCTCCTCCAGTGGCCGGGGAGCAGCCGGGGATCGAACTGGCACTGCAGAGGCTGCGGGCAGCTTCGCAACCCAGTGTTCAACCACTGTGCCACCGAGGAGGCCCATTATAATTTTTTTGTGTTGTTTTACATTCGTATCATTTTAGATATACTTTTTTTTTAATTACTGATTATCTGAAGTTCTTAAATCTATTCCTATTTTCTGTTGACTTTTACTCATAAGAGATTAAGAAGCTGTTCTGCTGTGTTTTGAAATGTGGGCTTACAAGTATATCTTCATTAGGCTTCACCAATAGAATCATTTGTGGTGTATATGGACTTCTGTGCCTCTGGGTAACTAGTTTGCCAGTCTCTTTAAGAGCCTAGAAACTGCAGCATTTTATAATACCATCTTGACCTGGGGTAGGGCGGATTCTAGGCATTGCAGTGGTTAGAGATCAGATAGAAGAAAAGAAATAGCCAGAGAGATTGAAAGTAGACAGAAAACCAGTTTAACAACACAAGTGAAGAGAAAATATTTCATCTATCAGGGAGCCACTGTGAGGCAGGGGAAGTCACATGGTACTAGAGATAGAATCGGATAAGGTCAAAGACATTTCCACTGGATGTGACCATGTGGAGGTTTGTGATAACTTTCATTTCCATATAATGGTATGAGCAGAAGCCTTAATGAAGTAATACAGCCAGATGAAGATTAAATGGGATTCTTTGTGGTATTGCAGTAGAGGTCATAGCCAGGGCAATAAGGTAAATAAAAATAAAAGACATAAGAACTATAAAGGAATAAGTAAAACTAAATTTCTAGGTAACGTGGTTGTATTTTTATAAAATCCTAAGGAGTTTAAATAAAATACCACCAAGAACATCAAATACCTAGAAATAAATTTAGCAAAAGATGTCTAAGACATCTATGCTGAAAACTGTACATAAAACACTGCTGAGAGGAGTTAAATATATAAACAGATGTACAAGGTGTGCATGGATGGGAAGATTAAATATTAAGACATCATTTCCTCAAAGTACATTAATAGATGTCGTTGCAACTCCACTCTAAATCCCAGTGGGTTTGTTATAAAAATCAGCCAATTCTAAATTTTTGTTTCCATATGCAAGCTTAAGAATAGCCAAAATAACTTTAGAGAAGAACAAGCTGATTCCAAAATTAATGTGGATACATAAAGGACCTAAAATAGCCAAGACAGTTTTGAAGAAGAGGACTTGCAGGGCCTGACTTCAAGACTCACTATAAAATAGGCACAGTACGACTGTGGTATTGCCATAAAAATAGATAAGTTGATAAATAGACCAGGATAGAGTGCAGAAATGGACGCCAAAATAATCAAATGCAATTCAAAGGAGAAAAGACATTCTTGTCAATAAATGGTGCTGAAGCAATAGGGTGTCCAAGTAGACTAGGGTGGTGGGGAGAGGAGAGAATAAACAAACCTGCCCTTCCTGTCTATTTCAGGCTGTAAATAAAATTTCAGATGGAAGAAAGACCTAAGTAAGAAAGGTAAAACAATGAAGCTGTCAACAAGAATAGCCATGTGATTTCATTGTAAGCAGATTTAGGAGACTGGACACTAAATACCTATGAACATAAAACTTTTTAAAAATTGATACATTTTTGAACTTCAGAAATATTTTAGAAATTTATGCCATCAAAAAAACCTCCAGAGATGAACAAGGAAGGCCTTTCTAAATAAGACTTCATGCTCTGAAGCTCTACAGGAAAAAGGTGCAGCTTGGAGAGTTCCCCTCCTGTCCCCCTAAAGAAACAAGGAAGGGGCCTCCCCGGTGGCGCAGCGGTTGAGCGCTGGGTTGCGAAGCTGCCCGCGGCCTCTGTGGCGCCGGTTCGATCCCCGGCTGCTCCCCGGCCACCGGAGGAGGGTCCCACATGGCGTGCAGACCTCTCCTGCCGCCCGCTGCTCCCCTCAGCAGTGTACTTCGGTCCTTCTGCCTGCTCTGCTCCCCGCTCTGGCTCTGGTGGGTTCTCTCACCCTCCCGCGCTTCTGACTGTACCCAGTGCATGTATAAACAAACAAACAAACAAACCAGCAAACAAATAAATAAAGCATGCCTCTAATAAAAAAAAAAAAAAAAAAAAAAGAAACAAGGAAGAAGTTCTGAACTGGGAGCACGTTTGCAACGTAACTGTAAGGCATGAAAGACACTAAGTGCTGGCTTCCAAGAATGTCCTGCCCTGGACCCCAGATGCACCCCCAGGGAGAATTCAGGTGGCAGGGTAGTCTAGTCTGCTAATCAGCTGACCTTGACGTGGGGAAATGCTCCAGGAGCATCCATTGCAATCACAGAGAAACCTACGAGTGGAAGAGGGAGCAATCAGGAGTGATGGTGCCGTGAAAAGGACTTGGCCACCTGGTGTGTGCTCAGCTCTGGTGAAGGACCCCTGCGTCCCCACTGCCAGAGGCAACAAGACGCGGGTGGCATCTAGGTTCAGTGCTTGTGCTTTGTCCTTCCACTGCAGCTTCTACTGCAGCTTGGGCGAGACAGCAGCGTCAGAGCGATCATGTTGCCAACTCTCTGCTGTTAATGGCAGCAGGTCCCCGTAACTGCTCAGTTGTGTGTGTGTCTATGCTCATATGTGCACAGACGTACACACGTACACACTGCTTGTTTCACTGCCTCTTGTGGAACCGTGACTGATACACTGTCCCCCAGAGACCACCATCTTATCACCATTGCTTTATTAGTTGCTCAAGCAGTTTCTGGCGATGGTACAGCTTTGGACATCCAGAACTCCACCTTCAAAATTCTCCAAGTCATAGAAATTCTCTAAGTCATTCCACACCCAGAAGAATGCAAAGTAAATTTTAAGTTCCATTGTGGGGACATGCATCTGAATGTCAAGGTCAGCTGATTAGCAGACTGGAGTCGCCTGCCACCTGAATTCTCCCTGGGGGTACATCTGGGGTCCAGAGCAGGACATTCTTGGAAGCAAGCACTTAGTGTCTTTCATGCCTTACAGCTATGTTGCAAACGTGCTCCCAGTTCAGAACCTCTTCCTTGTTTCTTTAGGGCAACAGGAGGTACGAATCTATACCCCAAATCATATACAGTGTTAAAAATCAACATCACCTTGATAAAAAATAGTACAATTCCAAAAAAGCCACCTTTTGGTGATGCAGTGTCACTCCATGCCCAGTGATGACAGGAACAAACCAACCACAGTGCTGAAGGGAGAGAGTGCTCTGCCCAGCAGGAGATAGGACAGTGGGGCTGGAGCGCAGAGGGGACAGGGCAGAAACGGGCTCAAGTGGCGGCAGCCAGAAGCCAGGCCAGGCAGTGATCAGTGGATCCTGAACAGAAGGCACAAGAGCTGGAACATGGGACACGCATTTCCCAGCCAGCCCGCCTGCTGTTGTGGGTTGTGTGGATAGCAGCCAGACTGTCCCACAGCTGTCTTGTGTGACTCTCAGTGACCTGCGGGGCCAGGGGGATGGGCTGTTTTGCTCCCCCAAAGTCCCAGCTGCCAGGACCAGTGATCCAGAGTGTATTCGGAGGGTAAAGTTACTAAAGAGGCCACAGGGATGTTGGTGTATTTTCTGGATAGCTGGTGACTTCCAGCCTTATGGTTCAGAGTTGAGCTTCAGGCCCCAGAGGTCTGGGATTCTGTTAGGAGCCAGTTACAAAGGAGGGACTGGAGGGTGACTTCAAGAGAGGGGAGCCTCCTACGAAGATAACGCCCAGTCCCTACTCACAGGTTGGTCTTGCCGTTACACCTGTGTCTCTGCCCACAGGGTCACATTTTCCGAAAAGGTGAGAGATACAAAAGCAAGCTACCACCTTGGGCTTGTAAATAAACCTTTTTTCCTAGAGAACTAACCACTTTATTACCACCTTCTGCTTCCTCCACACTTCATGTTCTGGCCGTCATAGCCTGCTGTGATGGGGGCCCTTGGGCCTCAGGGTAAGGGCCCCACCTTGTGTAGATTGGCTCAGCAGCAGGGAGATCTCAAAGGCTTGAGGCCCTGTGAAGGAATCTTAAAATGCTCACTTTCCCCCAAAGTGAAGCTGGTAGGTCCAAAGAGCTGAAGTTGCGCTCTGTGTTCTTAGAATGAGTAGAGCTTGGGGGAGCCTCGTTGGAACAAACCTTTCCATGGTTTTTTACCTGATGCCTCCCTGGGTGAGTCCTCGCCCTTTTGTGCAGTGGGGAGTCGTCTATAAAGATGAGACCCCAGAGATGCGAGTGCCCCCAGGTTTGTCCCATTGGTGCCGAGTCTCCTTCCTCCCAGGGCATCCTGTGACTTGGCGAGATAGAATGTGCTTCTCGATGCAGTTTCTTTCTGGATACAAATACCAGCCTGGTGCTCTTAGAGCTGTCGCTTTGGACTGAAAGTAAAAGTCAGCACTGTGTCCAAAAAGGCAGAAAAGTGAGATGTGCCACTTACACACTACTGTTTAAGATGTTGACAGTTTTCTCTTAAATGCTACTTTTATATGCAACAAAACCAGAAATCCTGGCTACACCAGGGCCATGAAAAAAGGGGTTATGGGCAGGGAAAAAAAAAATCTAAGGAAGGGAATGATTTTTATAGTTACCTTCAGGAAAACGCAGATTAGGGTGAAGCCACCCAAATTAGCCATTAGATCCGACTTGAGGATTACAGCACAGCAGGATTTAAATTCCAGGATTTAAATTCCCTTTCCCAGGAGGCCCAGCCTGCTAGGGCTGAATGGGTGTGATTGCAGCTGTGGACTCTGTCCCTGCCAGATGCCTCACTGAGTCCCGTGTCTCTGTCCCTGTCTGCAGCGCAAATCTGTCCAAGGCCGCCTGGGGAGCCTTAGAGAAAAACGGTGCCCAGCTGATGATCCGCTCCTACGAGCTGGGGGTCCTCTTCCTTCCGTCGGCATTTGTAAGTTCACACTTGACACTGTCAGGTCCATGATTATTTATTTATACATGTAAGAACTGGGGTATAGGCCAGAGGTGCGGGGGGTGAGAGGATTCACCAGAGACAGAGTGGGGAACAGCACAGGCGGATTGACTAAAATACACTGCTGAGGGGAGCAGCAGGCGAGTTTAGGAGAGGTCTGCTGCGCCATGTGGGTCACCTCTCTGGCCGGGGATTGAACTTGTTCTGCAGAGGCTGCCAGTAGCTTCATAGTGCCGGCCCTTAACCCCTTGAGCTACCAGGGAGGCCCCTACAGTGAGTTAGCTTTAAGTAAAGATAGTGAGACGTGACGGGAAGATTGAATGTGAGGTGTCACCACAGGAATGACCTGGCCAAGCACGAGAGGTTTAAGGTTGGGGTGACGGGAGCCATTCTAGGCCCTGGGCTCATGGCGCAGCCCCCGTGCTTAGCTGTTTCGTGGCAGGCCTGGCCCTTAGGACACATCAGCTAGAGGTGCTGCCTCTGAGTGGACACGGGTTCCATGCAGGTCGCTGTGTGCATTTGGTGCCTGAATACGCTCCAGGGCTGGTGAGCAGCTTGCAGTGTGTGCAGCTTGCCTGTAACCGTGTCGTTAAAATGCAAGTGCATGTGCACACACGTGTACCCTAGGGGGTCTCTGGCAGCATTCCCCCCTCCGGCCCCCCCAGGCCTGGCATATCCATGCAATTGTTGTCTGAACCTTTTCGATATGAGCCACCCTCTCAAAATGGTTGCTGACAGGAATGAGGTCTCAACCACTGTTTCTTTATGTTTCCTTCCTTGGTACAAGCAAGATTTGCCATTGAGTGTTTTTTAGTTAATGTTTGTCAAACAGGCATATTTAATGCCCATTTTAGTAGTCATTCTTCTGCCTGGACCTCCTCCGGAATCCAGCTCCTGGAGTCCGCCTTTGTGCATCTCAAGCAGAACTCCTTATCCCAGACACCCACACTTCTGAGTTATCAGCTACCGCGTGGCCATAGTTGGCCTTCACCAGCCGGCCGGCCCAATCCCTGCATTCCAGGACACTGACATGAGGCTGGGCTTACACTGCTGACTAGTCCCTGGTAGCCAACTAATTTGTTCCCATTTTTCCTGCTGCTTTTATGGGTGATTCAGTAAATGCATCATCTCGAGATCTACCTGACTTGAGTGTACAGTGTGGAGTCAGTACCTTTCCGTCTGATCAGGAAATCTGGAGATCTAGAAATTTATGTCAGGATGGATACCTTTGACTGTGTGTCCCTAGCTCTTAGCTGTTGTTGCTACATAGTAGGAGCTTTATAAAGATTTGTTGGTTTAAACCAGCCTTTATTCCTTTGAAGTTGAACATCAGCTAATCAAGTATGTAAATTAAGGGTGGAGGGGCGGTTCACTTTAACTTGTGTTTTTAGCTTTTAGATTAAACTAAATCATTTATGTTCCCAAAAATCTCAATATCCAAACCCTGCTGCATCTGTGCATGTATCAGGGAGATGCAAGTATTCCTCTTTCAACTCCATGCATTTTGGTGATGATTGTATATTTTATCAGGCACAGGAATTGAGCCCACCCTGTTTTTGTGCTAGAATCCCTCCTGCCTCTGGGAACAATACACTGAACCACGTGAGCGTTGTGGGTACGTGCCCCAAACTGATTTCCTCCAGATGAAGACCACCTGACAGCCCAACCTGGGCACACCTGCTCCTGGAGGGGGGCAGGTTCTTGTTCCCCTGATCAGAGACAAGAATGTCAGAAATCCCGAGGACTTTCAGTCTTCAAAGCTCTGCTTTCTCTTATCTCTGTTCCTTAAACTGTTGTCTTTTTGTTGTCCAAAATAGCATGCGCCACAAGAACTTTCTCTGGTACTGTGACTTGGAAGAACAAATGAAATGCACGAGAGCCACCACCTTAACTGCCCCCCCTTCCTTGGGCACTGCCCATCCTTGCCATGGGCGGTTCTTGGGTTCCTAGGAGGCCAAGTGCTCTTTCAAGCTTCATTTCTTCAAGACCTCTTACACAGCCCCCACCCCATCCCCCGCTCAGCTAATGGAGCCACGGAGCCATGTTCTCCATCCTCCTCCATCCCCTCTGCCAGAACTTCCCTGCAGTAGGCCGTTGTCATCCCCCACCTGGCCTGGGTGGTCCCCTCACTCCCCATCTCCAGCTCCCACCCACTTCTGAAGCTGTTGCTACCTGCCCATCAGGGTCCACATTGCCCTGCCTTTAAACTTTCAGTGCCCTCTTGGCCCATGACATGACATCCTGAATCCACTGTGCACCCCCACAGCCCACTGTTAGCTGGAACAGTGAGCCCCTGCCATGCTCACACCTCTGCCCCACATGCGGGGCTCTGCCCCAGTCCCTGGGAGTCCTGGGAGGATGCTGTGGCATGAACTACCACTTAATGACCTGGCCCTGTGCTGCTGCTCTTTGCCTCAGTTAGAGACTCTAGAATAACTTAGAAAGAGACAAAATATAGAAAAACACACAGGAGAGAGATTGTGGGGCCAAGAGTACAGTTTGACATTTAGGGACCGCAGACTTACAGGACCAACGTGACAGAGGATGGAGCTGGGATCCGCTTCCGAACTCAGAAGCTCCTGGACTATTAATCTGTCGGGGCCTGCCGGACCTCTGGGGCCAGCTGCTGTGGGATGAGGGCAGAAGAGCAGTCTGCTCCCAGCACCATTGGAGGTTCAAGAGCTGATGCCATGTCTGTTCACAGGGGTGCCCGGCACTTAGCAAGGGCTGAGCAACAGCATCTTAAACCAAGCAATTCAGCCAAGTTAGAAACCAAGCATGTTAGAGATTAGACTCAAAGTGAATCAAAATCTTGCCGTCGCACCCATGATGTCATGCTGTTACTCTTTCTTTTCAAGTGCAGCCCCCCACACACACATGCACACACACTCACACACTCATATATAGCCTGTCCTTCTAAGCCCCGTGAGGTGAACCCTCCTCCAGGGAGCTTTTCCTAAGCCCCTTGCTGGACCTACCAGCCACCTCCTTGTCGATGAGTCCATCTTTGATTAAGTGTACTCCTTCTAGAAGGTTCAACTACCATTACTGTTCCACCCAGGGAAAGTTGATACCTTGTAGAGGGCTTTACTGTTTGTGGCTGCTACTCAGTCAGATGCAAGTAAAAAACAAAGCACATCTCTGACAGAAAATTGAGCATGTTTCTCCTTCTCTCTGATTGAGCTGAGCTGCTAACCCTAATCCGTCACAGTGATAACCAGCTCTTTCACTCCCGAAGCTGATAAAAGGAAAAGACAGTAATTTTTCATGCATGATGCATGCCCACCCTCTCACCTGGTGTTTTATAAATGTATTGTCTTCACTGTCTTTTAAGTTTCTGTGCCTGGGAGGGTGCCTTCCTCTGTTTTGTAAAATGCCAAGTGATAACCACTGTGATACATAAATAATGATAATTAGAAGACAGCCTCAAATTATTTGACATTCAGATTGAAGGGAAAAGTGGTACTTTTTATATATCTATATAATACCCTAGAATTTGGATCAGAAGTGACATTCAAAGAGAAAGCAGGTTGCTTCCTGTGAGATATGGGTGGCCCGCAGCTCCTTCCATGCGAGGTCAGACCGCCCAAAGGGAGCCGAAGCACAGGGCATCACAGCTGAACCTTGGTCAGAACCTTTACCCTGACGCATGTGAACAGAAATAAGCCAGGAGCTACAGAAAAGGGAAGTAGTTTCTATCCGCTTACTTTCTAGGTTTCTGCATAAGAGGCAATGTGTGTGGAAGCTTTTGTGCAGGTTAAGACAGGAACCCGCTACAGGAAGGTCGCGTGTTACAGCAAAATGAAGACAGTGGCATGAATGCAGTCAAAGGCAGCACAGGACAGATGCCTAACACTCAAGACAGAAAAGGAAGAAATGACCTTTTGCTGGTTGCAGGATAAGGAAGAGCTTGGTAGAAAATATTTTAGTTGGGCCTTGAAAAATCGCTATAATTTAGATAAACACAGATGGCAGAGAAGCAATGTCGGGTAGCCGGGCGGGGGGTGGAGAGAGGGGGGCTGAAGAGCGTGCAGCTTGTGTGCTTATCAGGGGAAAATGAGTGACTAGCCAGAGGAGGGGGACTGGGGCAGCCCCCTGCAGAGGAAAGTCAGAGCCGGTCTGGACAGGGTTCAGCATGGGAGGCACCAAGACATTTGTGGCTGGTACCTGTGTAGCCAGGCCCACCCCCTGGGCACGTGGTGGGCTGTCACCTAAGTCAGGTTGCAGAAGAGACCACCTTTCTGCAGGGTAAGGTATGAACCTTGAGCTGCTGAGGGCTCTCGTGTCCATCAACTGTCAGTGAACATCAGAAGGACCAAGCCCCTGGATTTGGTCCTGCCTGAACGAAGCAAGGAACTCACCTTTGTTGCACTTTCTTTTGCCATATGATGTGGTTGTCTGTCACTTGCACACTAAGGCATAGAGGGACCCCACTTAAGTGCAGTCTTTACTTTGTCGTGAGGAGCTACAGAAGGCTTCTGAACAGACAGATCCCCGTCACACGGGCAGACTGGAGGAGGACGGGTCTGGGAGCAGCGAGACCAGAAGAAAATGACCAAGAGCTGCTGCAGCACATGTTTTTAGGATTCACTTAAGGGAGTTGTAAATACATCGGCCCTCTCAAACATTGAAGATAGCTGTGAAATCACTGTGTTTTGTTGTGAGAACGCTAAGGATCTATCACTGCTTCGTGAGATCTTTCTTCAGAAAACGGGGTGCAGTCAGATCCCTTCTGTGTGTCTGCAGGGCCTGGACAGCTTCAAAGTGAAACAGAAATTTTTCTCGGGGAGCCAGGAGCCAGCAGCCTCCTTTCCGGTGCCGTACGATCTGCCCCCGGAACTGTATGGAAACAAAGGTGAGACACAAATGAAGGAAAACACAGGTGTGTGCATCAAACACAAGCCAGCAGTGGTGGGGGGGGGGGGGCGGGGGGGCGTGAGTGTCTCGGGGAACCTGGCTCACGAATGCTCCAGCGCAGATTTGCAGAGACCCTCTTGCTGCCCTGTCTGGGGCCCCCTGAGAGGACCCCATGGTCCCCAAACTGGTTCATGTAGGGACCCCCTGCACTCAATATTCATGAGTACCACAAAGAAGTCTTTTTACGGATTTTTAATATCTACTAATATTTACTGCATTATAAATTGAAAAGGAGAAATCTTAAGATATGAATTTATTTTAAAATGGCACTCATAAATATTCCTTCCCACCCATCCCTCCATAAAAAAAAGGGGGGGAATTGGTGAGAAGATGGTGTTTCCATTTTTGGCAAATTTGTGCTGTCCTGGTTCCCAGAAGTCAGCTGGATTGCCACTGCAGGTCTGTGATGGCACATGCCACAGATCCTGTGATGTCACGTGTCATAGATCCTCTGTACCCTCATAAGAAAGTATGTTAGTGACAAAAACTGGCTTCCTGTTACGATGAAGTCAGTGTTGACTTCACAGACCCTTAAATGGTCCCAGGTCCTTGAAACTCGGGTTTTCATTCACTTTTCGTCAGTGGTCTCCATAACATCCTTGACAGCAGGAGAAATTCAGGTTACTATTCACATGTGGTCATCGTGTCCTGTTAGTCCAGAACAGTTCAGGCATTTCTGTTGGGGTGTCTGTGATACTGACGTGCTGGGCACAACCTGGTGTTTTACCGGCTGCACCTTCTGCCTTGGGTTTGTCCACCATTTCATTGTAGTTAGATGAACTTTTACTAAGACTATCGCAGAAATGACGTTGTGGCCTTGGTGCATCATAAAAGGAGTCTCATGATGTCAAATTGCATGATTACTAGTGAAGCTAACTTGGATTGATTGGTTAAGGTGGTGTCGGCCAGGTCGTACTTAATTTTTTGCAGGTGTAACGTATTCCAAAATTGTTAAATTTTAAGTGTGTAGAGATAAGCTAATCAGCTGCCGTGTGATGGTTCAGTAGGAACACGTGTGCATGACATGGATTTAGCACATGTGGAGCGTATATGATCCTCTAAAGTGCTTTAAAACCATTGGTCCCCACATGGTTTAGCCATTGCACCTGCTGTTTGGTTAACTTAAAATAATTCCTTGCATTCAGATATATGGGAACAAACTTAAGTCTAAACCTATCACATGTACAATCCCAATTCATAAAATATCTTTCTTAGGGAAACTGAACAATGATTCCATTTTATAATCCCAAGAGCTAATGCATAAGAGGCAAGTCACTTAAAATCAGCATTGAAATGTTTCAGGCTGTAATGTTTCACATGCTGAAATGTTTCATCTTTTTGAAAGATCTTTAAAAATGAGGATTTTTTTGAACAAGGCAGCCAAAAAAGGTTTTTGACCTGATCTCAATTATTTCCTTTAATGAAATTTGTGTTTCATAGCACAAACAGAAAACTGAAGTTATGCTTCCAGCCCAGCTTTTAAACTTATTTTGTAATCTCTAAGCCGCTCTTCCAGCAGGAGTTGGGGTGCCTCATTTATGGGGATGAAGCGGAGCTGAGGTTGCCCAACAGAGCACTTTACAGGCAAAGGCGAACCAACAGGAGCAAGGGGCAGCCACAGAGGATGGAGCTTTGGGTGGAAAAGGGTGGGTGCTTTGTTTGGGCCCTTGAGGGGCGGTAGGGAATCAGGTCTGCAGCCCTGCCAAGCCTCAGCCTTTGATGTAACAAGGACAAAACACCCCTGGTTTGTGGTTCTCTAACAAGCTTGTTAATTTAACAAAAGTGTGTGGTTTCTTGCTTTCTAACCATCTGAAGGCCAAAGACAAGAGAACAGGATTCTGATAACTTGTTGCCATCCAGGCGGATGTCCTGCCAGGCTGCTATTTGCCTGCTGCTCTGCAGTCCCTCAGCACAAACTGTGAGGCTGTGGGAAGAGAACAGATACTGTTGTGTGCCAGGCGGCCTCTGTGGCCTCCTGTGCTCAGGAAGGAAGGGAGCCTCCCCCCTGGGGCACTTGGCAGTGCTGAGCTGCTGCTTGAGCCCATGCCCCAACTCATACCAGAGTTCAGACCAGCTACTAGGGGTCTCTTAGCACACAGCCCTTCAGCCTTTGCTCTCTCATTCTTTTCAGGACCACAATATGGGGGTTATCCTCACAGGGCATCTACGCTCTAGCCCTGTCCTTAGGGCTTGACTCTAGCAGAAATGACACGTGGCTAAAGGCTGGTGTCCACATCTTTTCCATTTCTGAAACCTCCAAGGAAGGGAGAGTCCATATGCATTGAGCATCTACAACATGCCAGGAACCTTCCCAGGAGTCCTCTCACACCCGCCTTACAGTAATCCTGGGAGGGTGCTGGTGTTACTCCCATTTCACAGAAGGGAAAGCTGAGGCCAAAGCCCAGCCGCCTTCCCTAGAGCACAGAGGACAGAGGCAGGATGTGCACGCAGGGCTTCAGTGTTGCTGCCCTCCAGCCACCCCAAGGCCTGATGCTTTCGTCATGCTGGCTGCAGCCTTTCCTTATACAGAGGCTCCTCGCCCATCAGTCGTGAACCTCAAGGAATAGAAGTTTCATGGCCACAACTCCCAGCCCTCTCAAGAGGATAGCAGGGGCCCCTGGTGGTGCCAGGGTTTTTGTGCCAGGTGCTATATCTGGCATGCTGGTGTCATTTGAGGGGACTGTCCCTGGGATGGGTTCAGAGGTTTTCACAGTTTGCAGACTCCAGCACATCAGAGTTTCTGTGCTGTCAGGCGAGTGTCCGGGCCCTGCTCCCGTGGGAGTAATACTGTTCACTTGTTCCCTTCTCTCCAGACCGGCCGTGGATTTGGAACATTCCTTATGTCAAAGCACCAGATACACACGGGAACATGTGGGTTCCCTCCTGAGAACCCAAAAGCACCTGAGATGTCAGCGGACGACGTGGAGCCACAAACCCCGGGGTCCTGTCTGCAGTGGTGTCACCCTGAGCCTTGTCCGCACCCCCACAAAACTCTGCAAGGTCCAGCTGCTGAACGTGGGTGGTGGCTGTACTGTTCATGGCCATTATTAACGTTCTTCCTTAGGGAAAAAAAGCTATTTTTTTCTTAATTCACTTTTTTATACCTTGGAATGAAAGCTATTAAATGTCACGGTGTTAAACAGACGGGAATGATCCTCACTGGGACGTAAAGCAGCGACTGCGCTGCACAGCACCTTTCAGGGGAGAAGCGCAGTGGAGTTTCTTGCTGGCCCCTCAAGTCCCCCAGGGTCTCGCGGTCACCCAGCGGGAGTCCGCATGGGTCCCTGGCCTCTGGCCTCGCGTCGCCTGCAGCCTGTGCGGACCCGGCCTCCCTGGCATGTGCCGTCAGCCCCTGCTGCTTCCTCGCAGGCTCCCAGGACATATGGGCATCTTCCGTCTCCGCGGATGTCCAGGACAGCCCACGGGGTCACACACAGGCACTCGGTATTTCACTTGGGAGAAACCCTGAATGCTGACATTTGGGTCATGAGTGAGGAAATGGAGACCCCAAAACGTGGAGGCCCCGAGGTTCCGCTGCTGGCCGGGCCGGAGCAGCCCTCGGCCCTCCTGCTAGGGACTAGCTTCGAGGGTGATTGTGCCCCCTTCGTTCTGCCTGAGGCTGATTGACAGTTTTTTTTTAAATACCTTTTCAGACTGTTGCTAACAAACCTGGGATTTTCACCCCAGGAACTTTCAGGGGGAGGGGAGGGGAGCTGCAATGGAAGAGGCCGGGAAAACATGATGGGGTCCCCCATCCTCCCACCCCTCTTTTTTATATATTGGGATTCTGTAAACGACAGCGACTGGAGGGTTTTTTGGTTGGCTTTTTTGGTTTTTGGAGTTTTTTTAGCCATCTGCTTTTAAAAAAAGTTGTTGAAAAAAAGGTACTACTTCATTTAACCAGTTCATTCCCAAGGTAAGAACTGAGACTTGAGCCTTTTCTAATCCTGCCTCCTCCTTCCCGGAACATTCCAACTGTCCATTGGGTGAGCCCTGTCCCAGGGAGGCAGCAGGAGGGAGCTGGTGGTGGAGACTGAGCCAGTGTCACCCACTGCCGTGGCTCGGGGGTGGACATTCTCCCCAACATGGTGGTCCCGTCCTGGGCTCAGCGCTCTGCAGGGGTAACTGGACCCACAGAGCCTGGCTCTCCTGGCCTGGCCAGTCAGCACATCTGTGGCAAATGAACACCCTGTGGGGCACACAGGCTGTTGGCTTTGGATCCACAGAACTGCAAAGTGGGTTGGAACTCAGTCGGAGCCAGGCCACCAGGGTTTGAATCCCAGCTCCACTAGCTCCTGGCTGTGTGACTAGACTGAGTTATTTTAGCTTCTCTGCCCCGCGGTTTCCTCAGTTATAAAATGGGGTTGGTACCGAGAGTGGATCCCACTGCGGAAGGTAACAGAGTGTGGGTGAGGGGCAAGGGTGAGGGTGTCTTGTGGGGAGACCAGCACAGGGTCGCACTGACACCCTCAGAGTTGATGGATTTAGATCATCCTCGTATTCCTAATAAGGAATCTGGACTCAAAAAGGTGAAGTTAGGCTTCCAGAAATTGCTCTCACCAGAACTGGAATCCAGGTCTGGCAGCCTCCAGAGCCTGCCCTGCCAGGTAGCCTGGGCATTGTGGGTGGTATTGGCCGAGGTGTACACACATTTCGCAGAATGCAGCCAGGGTTGTCAGTGATGTCACAGGACTGTCCGATTGCTGTGGGACTTCTAAATACTTGCTCTCACTTTGCTCATCGCAGACCAACCCTGGTCCTTGGTCCTCTAGATCCAGTGCAAAGCAGAAAGGCCCATCTGGAAGCAGACAACAGAATGTCCTGGGTAGGCACATGGGTGACATTAGAAGAAGTTCATGACCAAAGGTTATACACACCACATCAGGTGCAGCCTTGCCAGCAGCTTCTGGCACCCCAGCTCTGGCCTGCAGGCTCAGGGAGGGCAGGTGGAGCCATGGAGGTAGAGTCAGGACTAGAGCTGGGCACCACTGATAGCGCACATGGGCTGTAGAGCGACGCCCGCAGGGAATCATCAGGAACTTGGGAACACAGGGAACAAGCATGCCTACCCCACCTGGTCTTTTTTTTTAATGGGTTTGGCTAAATTACCCAAAGGGCTGCCCATCAAAGCATCATCAAACAGCTGCTAATGTTTTGGAGGACACTGCTCCCATTCTCAAGGTGGGTTTAGCAATTATTTCTCCCTAACTCGAGGAACTCTCCCTCTGTCCCCATGAGACTTGATGCCACCAAAAATTCTCTCCTTCCCCTCATGGGAACAGTGTTGAGTGGCTTTGTACTAGACCAGGCTCCATGTAGGGGCCCAGCACCCTGCCCCTCGGTGCCCTGCTCACCAAGGAGGCTCTTGGGCTCAGGGTCTCCATGTGGACCAATGGAACCACTGCCTTTTATTCCAAGATGCTTTGCTCTTTTGAAATCTTTCCTAATATTCATGTGCACAGATGGACAGGGAGCCAAAGCCTAGATGACGTTTTCACATTAGGCGATGGATTTCAACAGAACATTCTGAATGAGCATATAAGAGACCGCAGAAATAATTTTTGAGGCAGAGAATTGTCAGCCCCAACAGGAGGTGACTTGGAAGTCACCTCCCACTTTGGCAGAACATCTGTGTGTCCTTTCACTCCCCACATGTCCTTTGACAAAGGTGCAACCTGCTACCAGATTCTGGGGGTGAGAGAGGAATTTTTGAGTTCTTTGTCTTGTTCTTGGGAAAACTGAGTTTTATCCGTAGTGTAATATGAATCAACCTTCAAGCTCTCCAATGTGGGAGGCTGTTTCCACGTCACACTTTTAACAGCCTAGCTCTTCCTGTGTTCCGGCTCTTGTGCGTAAATGCTTTGCTTTTAATCCTCACGTCAGCTTTCCAGTAACATCCACAAGATCCTGCAGTGAGCAACACAACCACTTTTTGTTTCCTGGGGATTTTGTGTAGAAGTCATAGTTATCCTTACTAGAAATTACTAATATTGCATGAGTTGTCAAATGAGTATAGTTTACGTATCAGAAGAATCTTGGGTTTGATTTTGTTCTTTTTTTTTCTTGCATGTGAAATTAAAAGCTCACTTTCTATTACTTGACATCTATTATTTGATATACTGTGAAACCATTTTTGGATGATCTAGCATTCATTTGGTTCAAATCTTACAGTATTTGACATTCTCCCTCAAGCAAGATCCTCCCTATACTGGATTGATGAATACCTTCAAGAAAAAATGTCAATTGGCATTCTGCGTATAAAACAGCATTTGTGTGGATGGATGGATAAATGATATTAATTTTAATAACAAAGTATGATGTTGAAAGTCTGGGCAGGGGGCCTCCCCTGGTGGCGCAGGCGGTTGAGCGCTGCACTGTGAAGCTGTCTCAGAATCTGCAGCACCGGTTTGATCCCGGCCGGCCGGGCAAGGGTCCTGCATGGCGCGGCAGACCTCTCCTGTCGTGCCCGCTGCTCCCTTCAGCAGTGTTTTTCGTCAGTCTGCCCTTTCTGTTCCCTGCTCAGTCTCTGGTGGATCCTCTCATTCTCCCGCGAGTCTGGCCTGTACCCCGGTTCTTGTATAAATAAATAAATCTTTAAAAAAAAAAAAAAAACTGGGCAGGAACTCAGTGAATGGCCGAAGTAAAATAGCTCAACTATTATGTAAGATTAAATCTAAAATTCTAATGCTGATATGCCAACTACATGTTGAAGGAATACCCAGGACAAGAGTACTACAAACAAAACTATAATTTCTAATTGTACTTCTGATGAAACAGTAAATTCTATGTAGTAAGTGGCCCTTGCTTAAATGGAATACGATGCAGGAAAAAAAAATGATGAATGTTCATATAAGGATTATGTGCAGCCATCCAGGACTGGGAGAGGGCAGTAACACAACCAGGACCCAGTGTGGAGGCCCATGGCCATGATACTGCCCAGTAAGTCTGTAATGCTGAGCCTTTGCAGTGTGCCAGGTACTGTTCTGCCTGTGCTGTGTGTTAATTTGTGTATTAATAACCCAATCAAGGTGATAACCCATTTTACAGATGAGGAATGGGTGCCAAAGTCACACCACTGGCACATGGCAGAGCTGGGGTTTGAACCCAGGCAGTGCAATAGGGAGGAAGCAAGTGCAGTAGCTGGTCCCAAGCTCTTGCCCAGGAGCAGGCTTCCTGTAGTTGGTGTGCATCTGTAGCTACAAACCCAGGCATGCTTTCATCCACTCACAGCAAATGGTTGGCGTGACATAACCATCTAGCGGTACATAAAATCCACCACTGAATAATTGCATCAGCATGCAGAACCGAGCCACCAAGTTATTAAAGCCAGAACCTGAAAGTGGAGCAGGTTCCTCTCAAGTGAAGGCACAGAGGCTCAAACCTTTGCCGCTGACTCAGAGGAGCTGAGGAAAGAGCAGAAGGGATCAGCAGGAGTGACTGGACACAGCACAGAAGATGCTGGAGAGAGGGAGAGCCACAGGCAACCCAGGAAATGGGATGCTGGGATCTGAGGAAATCAGGGCACCTCCCACAGGGATGAGGAGGTGGCAGCCGACGAGCCCAAGCATTCAAGCCTGGCTACGGTCTCTAGTCCAGGTTTTATGTGTTTTACATACGGTGCTCCCAGCAAGTCTGACTCAAAGCAGGATCCACCGCTGCACATAAATGACCCTGTATCCTCTTCAGATCTCCTAGAGGCTCCCTGGAGCTGCAGCTGACTAGGGCACTTGGCTCAGTTACTCCTGTTCCCTTTGTAGCAAGGTTTTTGCTGGCAACTTTATTAAGAGCTGGAAAGCATCTGGACCAGCCTTCAGTAGAGAGGCTCCGAAAGAAAAAGGAAAGGAGAGAGTTCCGTGGAGAGTTTATGATGGGTTGCGGTTGTAGGTGACTTTATACACATCACACCACAGGGCGGGTGGTACCTCATTCTGTAGGAGGGAAAATGTTCAAGGTCACACAAATAGTGTGTCCCTTTTGGGGTCACCATCCTTAGTATTGTAAGTAAAAGTGCTTGCAACTGCACAAGACTCTCTAAAGCGCTTAGAGAACGGTACTGTGAGTGTGGAAAATCACACCCATGCCTCCTTTTAAAAACTTCCCAGAAGTATTGTTTTTACACTACTGAGTGCAAGTTGTTTCTGGAAGTCTAGGGAAGTCAGAGTCCTGGGTCCCCCAGTAGGCAGGCAGTGAGGTCTGATTCTGCAGGAAGGGGGTGATGTTCACAGGAAGTCTTCACCCCAGAGCCCCAAGCCCACCCTGATGACTGTAGATCCAATCTGGTACTTTCTGCCCTGCAAGTCCTAGACCCACATTGCCTGCTGACTCCCAGGGAAAAGGGTCTCTTGGCTGTTGGGACTGAGGGTAAGGTTGGGCAGTCCATGCTGGTGAAGACCTAGAGGGTAGAGGTGAGGGTCGCCATGGTCTTTAGGTTTGGGGAGGGAGAACTGGGCTTGCCTGGTGGTCACTATTGTGAAGCCCCCTGGTGCAGGGTCCTGTGGTCCTGCTGGGGGTGTGAGCTTTGTGTAAACTCACTGAGCAGCTGTGAAGGGACAGTCTGAATGTGCTGAGCAGAAGCATCAGTGTCTGGAAGTGGAGTCTAGAAGGAAGGGTTTGGATGAAGGGCAATCATCCATGCTCCTCTGGGCTCTAGGCTGACAAGTAATCAAGCAAGCAGAGAGATGGATAAGAGATAAAAACCAATAAGGTTTTAACAATAATAAACTCGTCCTATAAAGATGGGAGAGACCCAGCATGATTAACTCACCCACATGACTTTGACACCATCTTAAATAGCTTAGCTGAGATAGAATTTGGGTAAGAATTCAGTTAGGGTGTTTACCAAGGAAGACACAGCAAACAAAGTATGCAGATTTAAGCTCTGCCTTCTCCATTGTTTGTTTGTTTGTTTTTAAGATTTATTTATGCATACAAGAACTGGGGTACAGGCCAGAGGTGTGGGGGGTGAGAGGATTCACCAGAGACAGAGTGAGGAATAGGACAGGCAGATTGACTAAATTACACTGCTGAGGGGAGCAGTGGGCGAGACAGGAGAGGTCTGCTGTGCCATGTGGGTAGCTCCCTGGCTGAGGATCGAACTGATGCTGCAGAGGCTGTGGATAGCCTCACAGGTTGTGTCTTAATCCCTTGCACCACCGGGGAGGCTCCCTGCCTTCTCCATTGTAAAAAGAAAGAAATTAGGTCTTCTTATAGAAGTTCACGTATAAATATCTTTCAAGCAACTTCCCCCCAACCTTCAGAGCCCCTCGAGTAAAATCAGTCTTTTGCCAAAACGATGTTATTTGGGGGTATCAGAAAGAAGGAACTATGCTGTACTGGGGTGGGGTGAGGGGACAGCCTGGGGGCAGAGTTTGTGGTTGCTTGGGATGTGAAAATGTAGAACAAGGTTTTTAGACATGAGGATTCTAAATGGTTATAGGCTCCCTCCCCACCCCCTTCAATTTTGGGAACATGATGGACATTACAAATAACTACTTAGCAAAGAGCTCTTCCATCTACACGATGCTTTCCTATGGTAAATACTTCATGTTTGTTCTGTCCCAAGCTCTCCCCACTTCAGTCCTGGGAGGAGTCCATTTTGCAAATGAGAATCAGAAGGTATGTGAATCTACCTATGGTCGTGAACGCAACTTCCTGCATCCTGAAGCTGCCAGCAACATAACAGACTCAAGAAATGGGCATCTTTCATGATGCTTGCTTTGGCAGAGTCTGCCCTGAGGTATGGGTATGGTGTTAAGAGCCACTTAATACCTTTCTGGACACCATCCTGGAAACACTGCCAAAGGTCTCAGCCTGAGCCCCTGCTCCACTTCTCAGGCCTCCAGGACATGGATGACTTTACCGGCCTCTACTTCCTGTTCTTGGTGGGCATCTGGTTCCCACTCAGGGCAGAACTGGATGACTTTAAAAATAACTGCAGGGTAGAGAGAGGGGATTGACTGCATAAGAGAACATTTGTTTTTATCATGGTTGTGGCAGCTACATTTTCCAAAACCCTTTAAATTATATACTTAATTGGTATTTTTATTGTATGTAAATTATAGCTCAATAAAGCTGATTTTTAAAAACTCATACAGTTCAGATATGTACATTCATTGTATGTAAATTCTTCATCAGAAGAAAAACTAAACAATTGTTGAAGTCTAAATATACTAAAGGATTTAGGGTAAAGTATCTTGATGTCTGGTTTACTTTGAAATGCATTTAAATAAGGTAAATTAATGGATGGATAACTATATGATAAAACAAGTATAGAAAAATTTAATTGAGGGCCTCCCCTGGTGGTGCAGTGGTTGAGCGCTGGGCTGCAAAGCTGCCCGCAGCCTCTGCAGTGCCGGTTTGATCCCCAGCCGCCGGCAAGGGTCCCACTTGGCGCGACAGACCTCTCCTGCCACCCGCTGCTCCCCTCAGCAATGTATTTCAATCAGTCTGCCTGTTCTGTTCCCCGCTCTGGCTCTGGCGAATTCTCTCACCCTCCCATGCTTCTGACTGTACCCAGTGCTTGTATAAATAAATAAATAAATCTTTAAAAAAAAAAAAAGAAAAATTTAATTGAACAATTTAGGTTGCCACTGATAAGGACTGGTAAGTCCTCTCAATTTTGGTATCTGTTTGAAAATCCCATTATAAAATAACTTCAAGCTTTGGTAGGGCCAAACTGCTCCAATTTAGCCAACTCTTCACAAAAAGTATAAGCTCTCCAAAAAAAAAAAATGCTTTAAAAACCTACCAGTGTAAAGACCAAAAGCAGGTAGAAATGGGGGGAGGGGGGGAAGGCAAGAACTGGAAGCAGTACACCACTCTGAGTTTCCTGTTTCATTTTGATCTGTTTTGACCACATTTGGTCTGAGGTCAAGTCTCAGTCTCTGCTAGTCAGGACAGGGAAATGTCTAGTGGAAAATCTACAACATTGCTGGCTTAGAGACCCAGAGTACAGGATGTGGATCAACACAGACTCTGAAGATAGAAATAACAGAAATGAGAAAGTAAGTCCAGGGGGCTCTCCCAAATTCTCGATATAAAATCTGCTCAGCTGTCTGGCTGACAACTGAGCTGTGCATGTACAGCTAAATCGAAAAGAACCAAACTAAAAACTACTTTCCACTTGCAGGGGAGACAGTTCTGCAGTTGAGTTCAGCCAAGTTAACTGCCTGTTTAAAAATAATAAATTATTCTCCAAAGAACATAACAGAATCTAGAGTTTCCACATGTCATAAATTATACATCAATTATAATGTCCGTGATATAATGCAAAGTTAATGTACAAATAAACAGAAAATCATGGTTTATTCTCAAATGAAAAGGTAAGTCCAAAGAATTTCCATTCAGATCTTAAGGGAGTTGTTAAAATTATGTCCAAGGATGTAAAGTTTCCATCAGTAAATCTCATCAGAGGAATAGAAATTATTTCTAATGAACAAATGGAAATTTTAGAGCTGAAAAAATACATCTGAAATTAAAATCCTCACTGGAGGACTTCACAGCAGAAGACTGAAAAACTCTCTTCAACTGCCTTGACCTAGTTGACATTTATGGAATACTACACCC